GCCCCATTCAATGTCTCCGCTAATGGACATTCTTCGCTTGGGAAATAGAAAGCCTTACAAGAGCTCGAGATTCCCGCGTTATCGAAAATTGGGCGGGAAATTACACACACACGCACACACACACACACACATATGCACACACAAACATACATATATATATATATTCACAAACAACAAATTCTCATAGACGAAAAAGGGAAAAAAAATCAAACTCACCTAGGTAATCAATGTCGAAACTGGTCAGTATTTGCATTAGGAACATCGGCAAATTTTCGAGTCAGGGTCTCTTTAAGATACACTTATGATATTACGATAATATATATTCAGTAAAATCTGATATCCTGCTGTAAGGGTACGCCAACAAATCGCTTAGATACGTGCGTCATTAGGGAAACATCGCTCAAATGGGTCCTCCGCCTACGACATTTTCTCCGTTCGAAACATTGATAATTCAAGACATTTCTCGCACAGTCTAACGCAGGAATTAGATTGTCCAAATTTATATGTCTACGTAGATATTTGTTGAACCGGTTTAGCTATAACACAAGCCGAAACCCGTGGAGTTCCAGTAAGAAACGAACTCATTAACAATGCCTTGCGAGGCTAACACATTAATTCACACAGACACGCACACACACACATAAAGATAGATAGATAGATAGATAGATAGATAGATAGATAGATAGATAGATAGATAGATAGATAGATAGATAGATGCCGCGTTGTTAACTGACTTTTGAGTAGTAGGCATGTCAACTCTGAATGTTAATACCTACGATTAACCTTTGCTTTGCGGAATATAAATATGATACCTGGCAATAAATCAATAGATTTATCGTACATATGATCTTGTTGAGCGGAATTACGCGAAACATTGGAGTTGGTCAATGAGGTAATACATTGAACATTTATTTAGTTATTTATTGAATAGATAGATAGATAGATAGATAGATAGATAGATAGATAGATAGATAATCAAGTCGTATTTATTCCACAAGAGAATCGAATGTACTACACGCAGCAATTATGGTTGGCAGGATTAGTCATCAAAGGCACAGTAGTAAGAACCATCGCGTGTATACTAGGTAACTAGCTAACGAGTTAGTAACGGAATCTAATACACATCTGATTCACTGACTGGGCAAGAGTATAAAGACTGAGAGAGAAAGGGAAAGAGAAAAATTCGAAAAGCTTAGATAGATAGATAGATATGTGCATGCATGCATATGAATAGTCTTAGATAGCTAGCTAGCTAGATAGATAGATAGATAGATAGATAGATAGATATAGGTATGCATGTATATGAATATTCTTAGATAGATAGATAGATAGATAGATAGATAGATAGATAGATAGATAGATAGATAGAGGCATGCATGTATATGAATAGTCTTAGATAGATAGATAGATAGATAGATAGATAGATAGATAGATAGATAGATAGATAGATAGATAGATAGATATTGTTACTGCAGAAAGAAAGATTCTTCTCTTATACTGTGCTAATTTGCAAGATCATGAGTCGTGTCCCTTTAGGACTTCAGCGAATTTGACCCTCCACACGTTATTATCGTTTCTGGCTCTTAACAGTTTCTCTCCCTTTGCTAAGACTCCTTGCTCTCCATTCCGCTATCGGTTTAACCCGCTGGTCACATAAGTGCCTTGCTGCCTTCCCTCTTTTTCCCTCAATATGCCCCGTGAAGGTTAAGTTTTACAAGCTCTCCTTCCTCGTTATTTGTCCAGCTGTTTTTTTTTTCCTGATTTTGAGTGTAAATGTTCATTCTACTGTCATTCTATTTAACCTTGTTTACTCGCTTCATCCATGGATTTCCCAGTATCCTTCTGCAGAAACACATGTCTGCTGCCTTCAGTTTTCTCCTCATCCGTAAAGAGATTGTCCAGATGTCACTGCCATATAAGCGGATGGATATCACATAGGAATCCAGCACCCTTTTCTTTGTTTATAATGAAATTGTTTTCCTTTCTCAATGCCTTGATTGGTTATTGGAATGCTTCTTTCTCCACCCCAACGCATGTTCGGATCTCGGTGCCAAATTTTCCCCCTTCTGCTAAAACATTTCCCAGATATTTCAACTTTTGCACTTGCTTGATTATGACATCTCTAATTTGTATCTTGCATCTTGGGCTTTTTTTTTCTTTTGCAGTTGGTGTTCATCGTACAGAATCCTCTGGATGTCTTGGTCCCTGGAATTATAAGGACACGGGTTCTACATGCTGGGTGTGGCTACTGTTGCTTCCTTAGTAAATGTTTTAACAGGAGCAGAGCTGCTAGCCTTACGCACAACTTTGAATTCAGTGTTCAGTTTTACCTGCTATTAACCTCTTGCTGGAGAGGGAATAAATTCATACCTTTCAAAGGTTCTTTGTGAAAAAATAAACTCGACAATAACTGCTGCATTTTAGGCCTAGAACTTCCAATTCTTTTTTCCGCGCTGCTAACCACTACGCTTATGAACATTTCGCACTAATTTAACCTTACGCATTTATGTAGACAGGATAAAAGCAAGAGAAAGAGCGAGAGAGAGAGAGAGAGAGAGAAGGAGAGAGAAATAAAGAACCACTAAATAATATTTAACGAAAGATGTTTAAAAGAAGGTTTCTGACCAAATATACATACATACATAACATTTAAGACATTTTTTTAACCGAGACGCTCCTCTGTGGCTCAATCGGTATAGCACGCCAGGCTTTATGATGGTTCCGTATAGAATTCAGGTTCGATTCCTGTCGGAGGACGCATATTTTCTATGAAAATGTCAAGGACATTCAGGCCGGCAAATGTCGTTAATACTGGTTATTATAAACAGCATTTACTTAAATATTTGTATCTATAAAAAGAACGTATAAACATAAAAAATGTCTTAAAATAATTGTCGGCCTTTGTCCATTTCATAAGGTGTGACGTCATTTGTTTACATTTGGATACGCATGGAGTAGATTTGAATGTACGAGTGAAAATCATGGAGAGTTATAGTTTAAAAACGATAAGATCGAAATTGCTAACCGTGGGTCAATCGGTAACGCCCGTCAGGCGATATGACGGTTCCGTATAGGGTACAGGATCGATTCCTGTCGGAAGACGCGTATTTTTATGAACATTTCTCGGACATTTCGGCCGCTAAATGTTGTTATTATTGTTTATTATAAAAAGAGCATTTAATTAAATATTTATATCTATATATCTTATTTATTACATCTTTATATCTATAAAAAGAATGTATAAACATGAAAAATGTCTTTACATATATATATATATATATATATATATATATGACTAAAAATCAGGAGGTCAATCGAGTACGCCACCTTGGTTTCGGCCTCATGGTCTCATGGGGCAATATTTTTCAAATGAGCACTTTAATGCTTTATTTAAAAAAAAAACCTCTAAGAACGCTACATTATTATATTTCAAAAATGAATAAACAGGTGAATGACGATCTAAAAACATGACGTTGAGTGTAAGAGAAAGGAAGGGAGTATGGAGAAGAAAGAAGAAGAAAAACAAAGAAGGGTGAAGAAAAGAAAAGAAAGGCACGGGAATGCAAATATATTGTGAATGTATACAGAAAATAAGAAGAAAAGCAAATGTAACGTAAATGTTACGAAGGATGGGGAGACAAACGTATCTTAAGAATAATGGGGTGGTTTTAAATTAATAAAAAATAAACAGTGGGGTTTTAATAAAGAAAAATTAACAGTGGGGTTTTAAATTAATAAAGGTTTCTACCCAAATATATATATATATATATATATATATATATATATATATAAGTATATAAATAAAAAGAAAGAACAGTAAGATATATAATCCGGTGTTCTTATAGGTATTTTTATTTTTACAAAATAGTGCTCGATGTAAATTTACAGAGCATTAATATTATAAATTAATTGATTTAAAATATGTTTTTTTTCCGCTACACAGTTCTAATTCATATTTCAAAAATGGAAGCTAAAGCCACGAATTTAATTTTGCAATTAAATTAAAGACATTAGTTCCATTTCATCCTCAAGCGAATTTTAGAGTAACTTTTAAAATTAAAGTAAATTAATCAATTAATTTATAATATATATATATATATATATATATATATATATATATATATATATATATATATATATATATATATATATATATATATATATATATATTTATATATTATATATATATATATATATATATATATATATATATATATATATATATATATATTCATACACGTTTCATTAAATAATATAGACAAGTGTTGTCTATTTATTTTATGTAAATTTTTTCTTAACATCTGATAAGTTTAATAACATTATCGTTGAACGAAGAAAGAAATTCACAATATTGATCCATATTTTTTAATACAATCTAAGTTTCGGCTTACATAAGCCATTATCAAAGATGTCAGTTACAACATATATAAAGAATATACGGACAAGACAGTGATGATAGTCTGTCATTGTTTACATAGATGATTTCTAAGCAACAATAAACACGTATATATATATATATATATATATATATATATATATGTATGTATATATATATGGGTAGAAACCTTTCTTTTAAATATCTATGTAAATATTTTAAATAGAGTATATCTGTAAAAGGACAATATGAACAAAGACAAAAGGAAAACTTATCTGAGAGACTTTATCAAGGTAAATGTAAGAGCAAAAATGTTACTGATTTTTCAAAATCTTTGGTATACTGGTACTCATGAATATTCATCAGGTTAGCGGAAACATCAGGCAAGTTCATGGACATGAGGTGATGCTGTTTAATGAAAGTGAATCGGATGTATTTTGTATTTTGGGGGTAATGTATCTTGCCTTGGGATAGTATTCATTTTTTTTACAGGAAAGGAGATTTTGGGAAGAATACGTGACGCAAATTTATATTTTGATAGGATACAATAGCAGCGCTTTTGAAGATTTGTCTTTTAAGTTACTTTTATTTTAATAAGTGTGACATTCGCTCGGCCAAAAGTTGT